AGGAGATATTGTCTCGAATTTTCATCTCAGCGGACAGGTAAGGTCAGCTGTTTGATATCCAAACAGCAAATACATACATCTTATCACCCAAATGTAATAGATTATTCAAGGTTTAATGAGCATCAGCCGTTGCCTATCTCCAGCTGCATGAAGACTCCCGACTAAGTCACCACCCTACACGGTCCTGTGATGCCAAATTTTATCTTGCCCCAGCACTTGAAGTTATCTCAAAATCCCATCTTCGTGGTAGCCATACTTTCAGGCATGTTCTCTCCTTACAGAGGAAAAATGTGTGTACGTTCCCGTATGAATATAGATATGCATGTTTTAATGTGTGTGTCTATGTGTGTTAGAGGAGCGGCCGTTTAGTGGTTATCTGGCAAAACAACCTCCTACCTCCTCGCGGTGCCGGATGTGCAACATTGTCGTGGGTAGTGTTGTGGGGGGAGGGCCATTGGCCTCTCCCCTCATGGCGTCTGTGACCACCACAGTAGCTAAACGGGGGCTCTGGACGGGTGCAAGGGGCTGGTAACCCCTCCACCTTCAAATAATTACCACTAAACTACGATATAAACAAAAACCTGTAACAAATAAGCTTGTGCCGGAGGCCCCAGGGGGTCAGGCTTTTATGACGACTCCTGGACAAACCCCATTTGCCGGAGCCAGGAGATTGAATCTTCACCCTCGGGGCTCCTCCAGAAACAACGAAAAACCATTGCGGATGGCCACGTGGAATGTTCGAACGCTCACTGCGGAGGAGAGGCTGCCACTCCTTTGTCGGGAGCTGGACCTGTACCGCCTGGATCTCTGTGGCATTCAGGAGGTCCGGTGGACCGGCTCTGGCTCCTGCCACCATGAGGGGTGGACAGTTCTCCACTCGGGGCAGGAGACTGCCAAACAACAGGATGTGCCTCTTCTTCTGAACAAAAGAATGAAGGGGGTGTGGGAGCGTGGCGGTGAGGTGTGGGAAGCTGTAAGCCCCAGGCTACTTTGGGCTCGCCTTCCCATCAACCGGAGGCGAGGAGTGGTGGTCGTGGTTACTTATGCCCCCACCGAAGACGAACATCCGTGGAGGGATGCAGGCAAGGCCGATGAGTCAGATGCCTTCTATGACCTCTTGTCACAGGTGCTGGCTAAAGTGGCCACTCGGGACAGAGTCATCTTGTTGGGTGACTTCAATGCCCGAGTTGGTCATGATGCTGGCACCTGGTCTGGAGTGATTGGAAGGCATGGGCCAGATCAGCTCAATAACAACGGTAGGAGGCTGCTAGATTTTTGTGCAGCCCATGGGCTTGTAATTACCAACACGCTCTTCCGGCATCGGCGCATCCACACAACATCATGGATGCATGCCGGGTCCAAGCAAGAACAGCTGCTGGACTACATAGTGATGGACCAGCGGATGTGAGCCCATGTCCTTGACACCAGGACCTACCGTGGAGCTGATCTGCCCTCTGACCATCGACTAGTCATCTGTAAGATGCGCCTGCCATTCTTCCACTCCGGTGGTGGGTGTACACCCAGGACCCCATTACAACCAAAAGTGGCCTGGTCTCAGCTAGCTGATGAAAGTTGCAAGCGAGAATTTCATCATCGCTTGCAGCTGGGGTTGGCATCGTCCCCCACTCCACCTGATGTTGAGGGTAAATGGGTGAGGTTTAAGACTGTGACTCATGCAGCTGCAATGGCTGATTTGGGTACGCGGTCCAGACCTCCCCAGAAACCCTGGCTGACAGAGGAGGTGTTCAGGTTAATTGAGAAAAAGCGACAGGTCCACTCTCATCGGCTACAGCATCCCACGTCAGAGAATGAGGAGGTTTACCGCAGCCTTCGCTCGGAGGTTCGGAGAGCCGTAAGGCGCTACAAGGATGGGTGGTGGTCGCGGGTTGCTGAGGAGATGGAGTCTGCCTCAGTGGCCCGCGATCACAAATCACTATTTAACTCCATAAAAAAGTAACCTGCAGCGCCACACCTATTACCATCATTAGGGGAAAAAACGGTGATCCAATCTCCGACCCCCAGGAACAGGTTTGCAGATTTGCTGAACATTTCTGTGAGGTCCTGGGGGAGGGAAAATCTCTCAGCCAGGAAAACATCATGGCACAAAGTGGGGATAACCCTGCTGAGGCTGCGGTGCCTCAAATATTGGAAGAGGTCACCCCCTGTGAGTGGCTGGCTGAGGTGCCATCTGTTGAGGAAGTACTGAAGGCGATCCGGAGTCTGAGACCAGGAAAGGCACCGGGCAGAGATGATCTCCCAAGCGAAATGCTGAGGGAGGGTGGCGTTTGTGCACAGACTGCCCTATATGACATCATAACAACAGTCTGGACCGCTGGACGGGTACCGCAGGATTGGAAGGATGCCCTGGTGGTCCCCCTCTTTAAGAAGGGGGACCGCACAGACTGTAACAACTACAGGGGCATCTCACTCCTCAGTGTGCCGGGAACGGTCCTGGCAAGGATTATTCAACATCGCCTTGCTAGGCACGCTGAGGAGAGGCTTGCGGAACCCCAATGCGGTTTCAGGAAAGGGCGGTCCTGCACAGATGCCATATTTTCTGTCCGTCTGCTACAGCAGAGGTGTAGGGAATTCCAACAAGACCTACATCTCTGCTTTATTGACCTGGTCAAGGCCTATGATACCATCAGTAGGCCTGGGCTCTGGGTTGTTCTTCGTGCTTTCGGAGTCCCTGACCCTCTGCTCACGATCATTAAGGACCTTCATGATGGTGAGCGGGCCCGGGTAAAACTACGTGGCCGGGAGTCGGAGCCTTTCCCTGTACACCTTGGGGTGCGACAGGGATGTCCTCTGGCTCCCACATTATTTAACATCTATTTCGACTGCGTAGTTCGTGAAGCCTTCAATAGCTGTACCGGGGGAATTTCCATTTGGTACAGATATAATGGGAGGCTGATCGACGCCCAGGTGCGATCAAGGGATGGCTCCCTATTGGTCAACCACGTTATGTATGCCGACGATTTGGTAATAGCTGCTCATTCAGAAGAGGAGTTGGAGACGCTGCTGCTGAGACTGGAGCGTGCCACTAAGAGGTGGGGCCTTACCATCAGCCCCACCAAAACTAAGCACCTGCCTGGGTATTTTGTACCATCGGACACTCCACCCCCACAACTCCCAATCGGTGATGGGGAAGTTTTGGAGAGAGTGGAGAGTTTCCCATACCTGGGCAGTGTGCTTATGACTGGCTCCAGTTTATAAGCAGAGGTCTCACTCCGAATCAGTCGAGCAGCAATATCTTTTCATCGGTTGCGTAACACTGTGTGGAAGCTACCTGGTCTGTCACTCCGCACGAAGCTTCAGGTCTTCTCGGCCACGGTCATTCCCTCCCTTCTCTACGCTTGCGAAACGTGAACCCCCCTAATGGAGCATCTTCGCCGGTTGGAAACATTTAGGCTGGCCTGCCTACGATCCATCCTGGGTTTAACCAGGCTGGATTGTGTGAGGAGCTCACAAATCCTTGAAAGATCTGGGCAAAGTCCCATCGGTGAGCTCCTCCGGCAGGCAAGGCTGCGTTGGCTGGGTCATGTAGCCTGCATGCCCAGCCACCGCATGCCTAAACAGCTTTTGTTAGGCCGGATCGAGGGGGCTAAACGGGCAAGGCACGGGCTAGAGAAGAGATGGAGTGATGTGGTACAGGAGGACGTGGAGCTGAGTGGACTTGCCGATGACTGGTACCAGCGGTGTCAAGATCGGCCTCAGTGGAGGAGGCTCGTGAAGGATGCTACTGGGCAGATGGAGGCAGTCGCCCTCCAACAACAACGGAGGGCGGAGGAGCGACGCTCACAACAACTAGCGGAGCGCCGGGTGGCTAAAGCACAGCAAATTGGTACAGTAGGGGGCACAGGTGGTGCAACAGCCAGTCATCTCGGTCATCTCGGTCAGTCGACCCGTGGCACCTGCTGGGTCTGCCCCGTGACCTCCTGTCAGCTGGCGTTCGACACTTCACGTAGCCTTAAGGTGCACTTGGCCTGGCACAAGCGTCGTGGTGACGTCACTGCCACTTAGTGGCGAATGGCGGTTGTTGTAGAGGAGCGGCCGTTTAGTGGTTATCAGCCAACCCTCGTGATAATTATCTGACCCGGATCTGGGCTTCCCAGAGGTCGACACAGCCTCAAATGAGAACCTGTTGCAATGGTTAAACACTGCCTCTAGGGAAACAAAGGCGGCCGGGCGTGGTGCTGGCCACCCACCTCCTCGTGTGCTGTTCTGGCCTTCAGAGGTGCTCGCTAACAGCATTTGTTCCAACAGTCTACACGGGGGATTTTTGTCTTTTTGTCTGTGTATGTGTAAATGTGGGGAGTGGTAGTGTAGTGGTTAGTGCACTGTACTTTGAACCCGGTGACCTGACTTCGATTCCCACTCATCGCCAACACCAGTGACGATTATCTGAACCAATCCTGAGGCTCCCTAGATCGACTCAGCTTTAAATGAGGACCAAGTGTGATATTTAAACATCAGCACTGGGGAGACAAAGATGGCTGGCCATGGTGCTGACCACCCAACCCCTCGTGTGCTGTCTCGGCATTCATCCGTGCTCACTAACAGCACTTGCCCCAAAAGTCTATTGAAGCTATCTGGGACATTTTTATTTTTTCGAGTGTGTATGAATTTGGCAGTGCAGTGGTACGAGCACAGCTCTTTGAACCCCGTGAATTAATATTCGTAACCGGCTATGGTGGCTGTTTGTGAAAGTGTGGCCTAAATTGTAAATTAGAACATTGGCTTAAAGAGTTGAGAAAAAACATGTGTGGCCAGAAAATGTGTAATGACCACAATTTCTTAACTCCCTGAGTTGGTGGTCTCAATGACAAAATAGGTTACACATTCAGTTTTGTTGAGCTGGTGGTCTGGCTAAGCCCAATAGGTGTTGTAAAAGCAATGCTGTGCACCTTTGCGTGTTGTTAAATATATGTTTGCCGTACTGCACGCATACACGAGTTAAGGTATAACATAAGCATATTAAAGGAAATGTAATGAAGCACCTGAGTGACTTTGTAGATGGACAGGGCCTGGGCCATGGATTCGCCGTGAGACAGGATGAGCTCCAGCGTGCCGTCTCCATCAAAATCCGTCGCCACTCCACCTGGCCCACAGCAAAATAACCGTTATATTAGCACTATCATCATCACTGTTAACATCAACAACAACAGTGGTAAATTTTACAAAAAAATGAATTACCATTTGCACGCATTTATTTACTGATAAATGAAAGTCCATTAATATTGATATGAGCGCTCAGCAGCGTGGCGTTGTAGTTAATCTCACGGCAATGTGTTCCGTGATCTCGTTAGAGTAGATTCCATCTCCCATTTAATGACTCCCTCAAAGATGTTTTAACAAGAGAGGCAAACATCTTTGGCTGTACCAGTACTTGCCAAAAACACGCATGTTCAAGTACTGGGGGTGGGGGGGAAGTTTTCTTCTCACATAAGTATTTAATAACACGAGCGCGGTTTCATGGGTTGTGCTGCGTGTTAAGCATTTCTTCTCTCAAGCTCTTCACCACGCACCACTACAGACCTCTTCATCTACTTCAACTCCTGCAAGCTGCCTGGCGCTCACCACAGTGCTGGATGTATGCGCTCGGAGAGCAAAGTCTCACAAGGGAGGGAACATCGTGGGAGTGTTTGGCGGTACCAAGCTTGTGATCATCTGCAAAGACCGATCTTGCTGTGGCCCGGCATTGAAACTAAACTTAGATTTTTTTTACCAGGTAAGGCCCACTGCAGAAGTGACCTGGCTATCACAAATGATAGTTCAACGAAGTGGCTTATCATATTTACATTTATCGCAGCCAAATGCTCTAAAGTTTAAACGCACGTTTCTAAATGTGAAGGGAAAACCGGAGGACACAGATAAACAATCCATGTGACCACAGGTAGAACAAGCAAACTCCCAATATGCAGGTGTCAGTTAGGATCGAACCCACGACCTCCTGTATAGCAGGCGAGGTAGTTAACATCTCGCCACCATGGTGCCCCATGCGGAGCTCCACCTTACTACCCTAATGTCCCCAAGCTCTGCTGTGGCTACAGTTGTCACCAGGAGGGGGGTTAACTGCGATATTGGGATCTTCGCAGATTCTCCAGTAAGCGAGCCATATCCTCCCTCTAAGCGCTCAATCCCAGACAGCTTGGGTATGGCTAAAGCAGACTTGATTGTAATGCACTGGATCCCAGATAGGCGAAGCATTTAGAGCGATTGTCAGTTTTGCCCTGATCAGCCTTGAAGCTGCAGATTTTCACAGCCATTTGGTCGGATGCATTTTAAAAGACAAAAACAACCCTTTCCCCACAACCACCATAAAATGTCTTACTTGGTGTTGAATGATAAAAAAACATAAGTGAGAAATAAAAAAATATATATACAGAAAAAAATCGACAAAAAATAACCTCCCACAGCTAACGCAGCTGTACAGATAAGTGGTGTCCTCCTCTGATGGTCAGTTTTAGAATTGCTATTCTCTGGATATGGCTGTACATACAATATAGACTAGTGGTAACCTCATTAATCAGCATCTTTGTGGGCACTGACATTCACAAAAAAATATTTTCCATCTTCGGATCATGAAAAGGAATATTGCCAAAGGTGTCGGGAATAAGATGCATTCCTGTTAGGAGAATGCATCTTGTTTACGATGCTGTGGACACACTCACGACCAGTTAAGGGTACCCATATTTAATCTCAGAATAAATTTGGAAGAAGAAATACACAAGAGTTCTGCGAAATCCATCATGTAACTATGATTTCATGCACATCACAAATGGGGGCCTGTTTAAGTCCAATTCTGGTTACATTTTAAAGAAAATTATACCTCCAAGTTAGGTATTGTTATATGTCAGTGTCATTACATTTTACAATGTCCTAGATTGCAAAGATGCTTTTGTTATGCGAGACAGTTATATAACTACTCTGCCATAAAAGTCACAAAAAGATAGTATCATTATTGGACAAAAGGGTTTGAATGCGCACCCTTTCAAAATGAAATTTCTTCATTTCTGAGGATTTCTCATATTCAAGTGATAATAATTTAGATTATATACTACACATTAACATACCATCAATTCAAATTGCTGTAGCAATTAATTTGTTTATCCCATCCCTGAAAGCATTATTATTTCATTCTCTGGCCATCATCCCTTCTCACAATGTGGGCTGCCCAAGCTTACTTTTCCTAACAGCCAATAAGAGGTCTCGAACCTGTGTTTCTCTTCATGTCAGATTTTATTCAATGCTTTCATGAGTTCATGTATTCGATGCATTTGTCCAGACAAGTGAAATGCACTGATTGAAAAAAAAATCTTCTTGAGGCACAATGTTACTTTGATTTTCTATGTCAAATTTTATTTTATGTTCAATATTATCCCAAACTGCTTTCGACAACTGAAATCATTGCCCCTTTTTGTGTTTTCTAGTTGCGTCCCTCCAAAAATTATTTACTTTTTGCTTCATCTAGAAATTAACAAGACACACACGGTTTGCATTTAATTACGCAGCGTTCATTCCATTAAAAAAAATTAACCTACGTATTTAAAAATGGATCAGGGGGTCTAAAATTAAATCTTTTTATAAGATAATATACATATATAAAATTAAGCAGTCAAATATGAAGCATGAGCTCCTCTCATATTGCGCTGTTAAATCTAGGGGCATGCACCACTGTTAATCACTGTTTAATGCATGCGCAGCATTTCCCTAACACTTGCCGAGCCATTTGCCTATTAATTTATATGAGACATTATATGAGACATGGGGGGGGGTGTTATATTTTATAGTACTGTTAAGCAACTGTAAGCATTATGAAGCACACGCTGCCTTAGATCAAGGACAAGCGGTGTATATGTTCTTTTGCTGCTGCAAGTCCTATATTATATCTCATTACTGGGGGGCACAATTGTACAAAAAATGAGGACATGTGTGTATCTGGGGCAACAGCTCAGGATGGTAAATGATCACAACGATTACATTGGATGGCCAGAGTAGTTTGTGTGTTGCTAAAAGACTGAATCTGATTTTTAAAATGCCAATGTAACAATTTACATCTACAATTTAAGGTGCACCACTCACTAAGGCTTGGGGATTATAAAGATTTTCCTAAATTACACCGAAAATGTCGATACAAACACAGTTGTTTACCATTATTATCTATCCTTAATTCGTCTTATATTCATCACACTGTATGACAATCCCTTTGCAAAATCCAACAATTATAGGTGAACTTTGTTTAGTATACATGTGTCAAGAATCTCTAAAATACTTCCCTCGTAACAGTAATTTGTGAGAGGATCGGCAATAGAGGCCATAGGCGTAAGCCACGGTGAGCTGCATTCCCCAGCTATAAATGCTCTGATACGTGTATTGTCTTTGTACTGTTCGCCTTTTGGCGTTCTCTGGTCTGACACTGGTAGTGAGACAAGGCCATAAAGAAGGCCGTCTCTGGTGTAGGCCAAGCAGTTTCAAAGACAATCCATATGTCGTGACATTGGAGATGTCACTGTATGGTGCCGGCCCGTGAGGGCCGTGGCGTGTGATGTACTTACGTTGCGGACAGGACTGTGTGGGTTGCTGTGTGAGGCCGGCTCTAGCATAGTGTGGCGTGCGATGCACCGTCATCACGTACACCCCGTAGGTGGGTGCAGTGCCAGCCCTAGCGGGGCTCGGTGAGCGCTGGGATAGCGCGGACACCACAAATAGGTTTAGTGCGGGCTCCCACAAGGGGGAGCGGGAGAGTGTCAGCCGAGGGACAGGGTTGCCCCGGGCCATGGCACTCTCGTTGACCCCGTAGACATGTGATCTGGAGTGTCCACAGAGAGGGCCCCAGGCGCGGGGGCTAGGGGGTGATCACGTGTCCGGGGAGAGCTCTCGAGAGGGATGGAGAGGGAGTTGGAAGGCTCCAGAAGGTGGGCGGGGCCGAGGGCAGAGCCGGCTACGACCCGGGAGGATATAAGGTGGGTCCCTGAGAGGGACCGGGGTCGCTTCATTCTACAAGCTGGAAGCTCTACGTTCAACGTCCTACGTCTGAAGAGGCATCAACACGTGGCCGTTGACTCGAGTGAGGGTCCAACCCTTGGTAGCTGTAACTCCTATGTATGGTGTAGTTAGCTGGGTGGTCACCACTCCAGGCTGTATTTGGTAAAGGGGCAGTTACCCCTTTGTATATACGTGTTACAAATAAATGTGTTGCCTCTTAAGAATAACGTCTGCGACTCAGTTGAACTCACTACACATATATTGTTAGAGCATGTGTTCTTTGGTTCTTTCGGTTAGACGTGACTTAACCGAAAGAACCAAAAAATAATTCCTGCAGTCACGAAAGCTCCAAAATTAAGATAGAGCATGTGTGTTTACATGTTCACCACAAGTATGTGTGGTTAATGCAGACTTGATTCCTTAATGCAGTAGGTATCTATTTGGTGTTTGAACATCTTAACACATGTTTTATTGCCAGAAAGGGTAAAAACCTATTCTTATTTTGTCATGCATTTCCTCTGTTAGCATTCACAACAGAGAGACTGGGCACTCACATCCAGCCTTGACAATGCTGAAAGGTTTTTTTTCTTTTCTTTTTAAGCGTGAACCATTGAAAATAGATATTGTTTCCCAGCAACAGAGTTAAAAAGACCACGCTGTTACAAATGTCGATGTGGGACTCACATGATACTCTCAATGTCCCACATTACGCTGTGCTGTCTAATATTGTGTGTGCTTATCTTGAGAGGAGAATAGTTCCAAAATGCAGGCTTAGCTGTGTACATGTTGATGAAAAAAGAAAAAGAGAATGACGATGAAAATATCTCTGCAGCAAATCAGGTTGTGCAAGTTTATTAAAATGGAAAATAAATGTATATGCCGCATATGTCTAAGGAGCAAAGTAAACATAGCCCACAGGCACTCCCCGGGTGTAATATAATTAATATATATTGATATTTGCTAAACAAATAACATTCTACCTCATATTTATAAACACGGGTGTTATTGCATGAGCGTGTCGCGCTTCTATGCAACATGTAAGCCGTGCATGCGAGCTGCAGGTTTCTAGAGGCTTGAGGAAGCGTATTATTATTATTATGCCTGTCATTCACA